TTTAAAAACACAAAATGAATCACTGGTTAGGGATTTAGACATTTCCATCTCCTTATCACATAAGCCTTTATCTCGAAACACATTATTTACTTTTGTATTATTATTATTATTGTTATAATAATAAACTTTTCACTAATCTTTACATTTATAAAACAAAATGATGACATTTACTAAATGAGAAATGCACTCAACAAATACCTGTCGCTAACCTAATGAGACTCATAAATATAAAAAATATGATGGTTTTAATGCTACCTTAACCCCCATTGAGCGCACTATATGTATGATCAATGAATAGGACGTTAAAATTGCTTTGATTACACAATTTTGATCATAAAAATTGTTGTTTACTTTAATGCGATTTGCAGTAAATCTATTCAATAGTTTTGCTTTGACATGAATTTTGCGGAAATAGACTTTTTGTTTATTAATTTATTTATATTTTTCATTCAGTTTTGAAATCACTTTAATTAATTACCAAGTTCAATTTTTACAATTAACTCATTGGGTTTGTGAGAGGTATTTGTTGAGTGCATTTCTCATTTAGTAAATGTCATCATTTTGTTTTATAAATGTAAAGATTAGTGAAAAGTTTATTATTATAACAATAANGAGAGAGAGAGAGAGAGAGAGAGAGAGAGAGAGAGAGAGAGAGAATGTATTGAGGAATGGATACGAACCTAATTTGTGGTCATTATTGATGTTATTGTTATTTCTTGTGCTGAATATAAGATCAATATTCTTAACATAATTACACATATCTTCAAAACAGCAGTTAATAGACTGATTGCTGTTATGGTGTCGATGGCTATGGCTGTGATGATTGTGGTGTGTCTGCTGTGATGGTGGCGATTGTGGTAAAGGCTTAACACACATGTCTCTCATCTGTTGAGGTAATTCAATACATCCGTGGCGTGAGATGTGATCACTAGTAATGCCGTCGCCGTTAGTATCAATTGACTGCTCTGAATAACACGCGGCCGAAGCGCCACTCGATTTACACATATACCCAGTTCTCACACATTGTGGTAAATTGCAATAACACCGGATATCACCTAGATACAATTCAATTCAATCATCATCTATTAATTTCTCGTATTTTCCATTATACAAGATGTATGTAAAATTAATTTTTATTGAAATATTGTTTAAAAATTATTTTTAATGAAATAATATTTAGCTTTTAAACGAGTAAATTACAATAAAATATGGTTATTATGTAAAAACCATTAAATCAAACCTTAAAAACGAAAACTCATTATTTTTGATAAATATAAAAAGAAGAAAATCTAAAGGTTTTTCAAATTTGAATATATTTTATGGAGAAAATTGATGCCTAATTATAGACGAGAGAAAAAGTTTGGGCTGAAAATTGCGTTGAGTTTCGAAAAGTCTGTGAAAAAAGCTGAAACCATTTTTTATTGTGGACTCAAAATTGCATCCCTTCTCTAATAACGCTAACGACTAGTGAGTGGAAAGTCAGGTCAGGATGTGAGCCGCCATCCCATCAAAAAGCCATAACCTATTATTATATATACTTTATAAATATTTTGTTTCCACTCTCTCTTCGGCAGACAATTCAAAAACATATATATTTTGCCATTTCTTTCTTTATTTGTTTCGCTCGAAAGCCTTATTATTCAACTGTTGTTTGAAAAGCAAATGAGAGGATAAGAGAGGAGCGGACCGGTTGTTCACGTCTGGTCCTCACGTTTTTTGCTAAAACTATCTCTCAGTCCTCTGTAATCAAAACCCGCACCAAATCATTATTTTTTTGGTTTTTTAGTGGCATTGCTATCATATTATCATTAAATCAGTCACTCATACATATGTTGTAATGTCTGTAATGTTACCAAAATAAGTGAAAGCACTCTATTATTTGGTCCCAAACTTTGTTAACTATTGCCAAAAGTCATTGCATTATCGCATGTTTCCGTGCATTAGTGCCCGTGGTCTAAACATTGCCTCTAATTTTATTAACATTTGTCTAAACAATCGCTAACATTGAAAACATTGCATAAATATAACCAAAAATCGATGAATTTATTCATATTAGACAACGTTTGAAGTAATATTTGAAACACAACTTTCTTCTAATAATAAAGTATTGCTAAATATTTGTGTTTCGGATTTGTATGGCTATATATCTCATAGATATTACAATATTTACATTATGTTTGAAACAGTGTTTCCAATGAGAAATACATTAGAAGTTTTGCGAGAATATAGAGAAATATACGATAAAAATACAATTAATAATTGAAAAAATAATAAAACATACCGTAAGAACTGGTGACAAGTATTAGGAAATTGATGAACGTTTGGATATTTAATACCAAATTCTTCATAACTTTTCCAGTTTTGGTCGAAATGTAAATAAACGTAAACTTATTTTGATTTTTTTGAAGTAAAGTATTGATAGAAATATCATTCAAAGCGTGAATGCAATAAATTTAAGTCCATTTGATTTGTTCGAAAAGGCATTGAAAGGCATTGAAAAGCAAACTTCAAAACATAAATATTTCAAAACTCGTCTCAAATGAGGTTTTGAAAGGACTTATGGCTTAAAACAACGGACGCCTTTTCTTCATTATTACAATAAACAAACTAAACTCTAAACTAAACTTCTGTCTCAAAACTCTCTTCTCTCTCGACTCGACTCCAGTACTAATCGGTGGTGAAGTGAAGACTGAAATACTAGTGGAGAGTGAGTGAGGACTGGGAGCGAGTGCTGTGTGTTGTGTGTATACAGTGCTGTCGGAATGGGAGTCAGTATTCGCTCTTAAAACAGAGAGACGGGGAGAGGGAGAGAGAGAAACGACTGCGAGTGAAGGGAACGGAGAGATAGTGGTGTTTGGCTGGTAATCAGATTGTGCCCCAAGGCCTCTATACCCAGACCTTAATGGCATCTCTACTATAGAGAGATACAGCGATATATACAGTGCCTATAAGACCGGCGCCACTGCTCTTTGCGTACTATAATTTTGGGAATTTTATCTCAAGTCTACATCATTAGTGTTGTACTAATGTTGAGACTAAAGCTGCACAACACTACACAACACAACACCGGTAATCAAACCGCAGACTCTCGACGCAAACCCTCATTCAATTTCTATCATTACCGCTCATATCTGTATATAAATGCATATTTTGTTTGTTTTTTAGTGATATTTTTGCATAAAACATATTTATTTCAATTTGCTCTCAAATCTCACTTTTTTATGATTATTTTTATGACTTTTAATGCAAAACATTCGCCACTTTTAATATTTTCTGTAAAACTTATGTAAACATTTTTCAAAACATTTGTAAATATAATATTTTAATATTTATGCCAACGATTGCATAATTAAAAGAAATATTAATCAGAAATATTATCAGGGATTTTAATTGATTATTTATTTACACTATAAGTGAGATTTAATACAAAGAATTACATTTTTAAATTATTTATAAAAGTTTATCAAATGATTAAATAGTCATAAGACTGGGATTGAAATGTTTGTTTTGCGCAGATTTTGTTTGGTTTTATAATTAAGATTAAAATGAAATGAAATGAGAAATTGGCAAACATTGTTGAGAGGGAGAGCGGATGGTTTGGGTGACCCGACTCGGGTGTGTTGAGCCCACGTCCGGGTGGTCTATGGGTCGGATGATGAGCAGGGAATGGGTGTCTATATTAGATACGATTGTATGGAGTGGTGGAAAGAGTGGTAAGTCTAGCGTTAAGTGCAAGACTCGTATTTGAAGTCTCGGATCCCAAACGAGAAGTTCAGTCGCATTGGAAATGAAAAGATAGATACGCTTTGAGTGTGTTTTCCGATTTCGGGGATATTTAGTCTCTTATATTGCTTTTACTCGCGATTATTATCGGGAAAAAAGTCTTCACAAAAAGCCTTCAATAAAAGTAATTTTTAGTGAAAAATAAAATTCAAAATTGACTTCAATTGAGATACGGATTGAAATTAGAGACAGAAAAAGTGGTTTCAAGAAGACATTAAATCTGAGCCATAATAATAATGTGTGATTACATACGAGACTTAACTATATATAGATTTGTGATAATGAGTAATAAAAAGCAATCAAATCCTCTTCATATATACATCAAATAAATTGCTGATAAAATTTATATGTATTTTTCAATTCAGTTTAGATTTCACTCAAAAAAATTCAAATCAATAAAAATAATTGAATCTCAATTTCCACTCATCTTTTTCTTCATTCTTTGTCTCATCTGTTTTTTTTGTTTATATTATAAGTGCTTCTTATATCTCATATCAGAATTCAAATGAAAAGTTTTTTGGTATTCATTTCATTCCACTTTTATTGATAGCAAACACTCGCTTCCAATTGAACTATACTTTGAGTCTTTATTTATTCTGAAAGCAATTATCAATAAATAAAAAGTTTTTGAAAGTTTTTCAAAAGATATCAAAAAGTTTGCCAAAGATTTGATTTCAAGAATGAGACGCCGGGAACGTGAACGCCGAGAGAGAGAGAGAGAGAGAGAGAGAGAGAGAGAGAGTAAAATATATATGTTTTTGAATTGTCTGCCGAAGAGAGAGAGAGAGAGAGAGAGAGAGAGAGAGAGAGAGTCATAAAATGTAAAATTATATTACACTACATTATGATAGGTTGTGTTTGGTTTTCATTATGATTATCATATATTCATCTGTTTTTGGCGACTATTTGTGCGGAAAACATCTGCCCATCGAAACCAAACGAACCAAACCTATCAAAACCATTGCCAACGTTGACAGAGGCTATTGAGAGCCTGTATTGTCGTCTAGTCGTCGGCCGTCTCTTTCAGTTGTCGTCGACGACGACTGAACAGAGTCTCCAAAACCCAACTAATTATGAATTTTTCTCTTGTGTTGAGTTCAATGCAATCGCTTATCTGTTGTAGACTTTCCTTTCAATGACAGGCAACCGATCGCTTAACATATGATAACTATTTATAATAATAACAATTATTATCAATAAAAATATACTGCATTTGCGCTACAGATTAGTGAATAACATTTCCTTTAAAAATTAACTTTTTCTTCTTCTTTAATCTTTTCCTCGCATTTTTCAAATCCAGATTTGCCTCTCATTTGTGTCACATTTGGCACACATTTCAATCAATCAATGCTTAAATGCGTTAATAAATAAGAAAAACAGTTCAATAAAAGTTATGCAAACACTCGGGCCTTGAGTTGGAGTTTATAAAGAAGTTTTTAATAACTCTTTCATTGCATTCAAAGCTAATATGATTTCAAAATATACTTTTCATTGAAAAGGCGTTAAAATGAAAAGTTTTGCTCAAAAATAGGAAAAACATTAGAAATAAAAAGTTGTAAAAAGTTTTTTATGTAAAAATGATTGAATAGATGTCAGTAAAAATTGGCACAAAAAATACTAAAATTTTCCATTATATCATTTACGTTCCCTAAATGTAGTCAATTATGCGCCCCCTTTGCCCCCCATTCGCGGGCTATCACTCAGTATTGCCTTTACTTTTACTTATATTTAAAACCAAACGTTATTTGTTTCCAACCGGAAAATACAAACATTATATAACTGTTCAAAAACAACGTTACAATATTTAGGGGGAAGTTATTGGTGACAAATGTGAAGTCCATTCGCATAGAAAACACATATAAAACTGATTAGAAAAGGGGAGCGAAGGGTACAGAAAAAATGCTTGCATTGATTAGCGTTGATGTGCTGTACGGACGGGTCGTTTGTTTTATGTCAAGTCATGCCTCGTATTGACTGAATTGAGTGAAGTCTTCAGCGATTGAACACATTCTGGCATTTCATCCAAAATGGCGACCGCTATGTGTGTCGATGGA